AACACTCGTACTAGGCTTGCACGGGACTTTTCATCTGAGGTTAAATGTCTACTCTCCAGATGACTAAAAACTAGTCACAAGGCTGATGGTGCCATTTTATGGACTGGCAAACTCTTATAATAATTATTCATCTTCCATCTAAGTAGGCTATAGAAGCCATGCCAAAGCCTCTCCTAGGACAAGAATACACAGATAGAATAGACGCAACAGTTCACAATACAGCTTTACTCTAGTATTTCAGGACACAAAAATCTCTCTCAAACTCCCTTCCTCTCTTCCTCTTTCCCTCCCTTCCCCGGTCCCCCCCCCCCCCCCCCCCCCGCCCGAAAACTGTGGCCTGGAGGATGATTTTAAAAATTCACTTCATTGCCTTTCATATGAGGTCATGAACCGTGTTCAGGGGGGAAAGTACATTACACCCTGATTCTACTGGGTTTATTATTCAGGAAGAGAAGAATGTGTAGTTTAATCCACTTCAACAGCAACAAAAAAAGAAACCACAGGAAAATGAAGGAGTCATTTCTTTCTTGTCGTTTGCCAGTGACCCATGTATGTGTAGCTGAGTAAATTATCCATTCCATTTGGTGTTTAGATTACTGCACTCTCAAAGAGAGAAAATCATTTCCTTGAAATTCAATAATACAGCCAACATATTACGTTTCAAATATTGTACACTTCAAAAAATAAAGTCATTTTAAATCAGTACAATGTTCTCAATCTTGCTTGCTTTATAGATATACAACACTTGCAGTCCTGTTGGATCACCCCATTTCTCCATGCCAGAGTCAATTCATAAAGCAATCCCTTTACTAGATAGATTCTAAGAACTAGGAACAATAAAAGAAACAACATGTACTCCAAAGGTTTCTATTATCAGACACCTCCATAATATATACACATGCTGTCCTCTCAAAACAGAGAAAAGTACATGTCTCAAAGGGGACAGACTATGATATGGAAGACTATGCACCTTTCATAACTAAACTGACATAAATATTGCTCTACATACAATAGACATTCGGTCGGCTCCTACAGAACCTAAAACAGGCCTTGTTTGCATAGCCGCAAGACAGTCAAAAAAAGAAAGAGAGAAAAAGAAAGGAAGAAAGGAAAAGAAAGGAAGGGAGAAGAAAGAGAAAGCTTCTGTTAACAGATTATGCTGCTTAACAGAAAACCTGTGTCCAGCCTGAATAAGCATCAACTCATTAGGGGAAATCACAGTAGGTCTTTCTGTACTGTGTCAAAGCTGGACACAAATTATGTAGCTCTCGGTATTTGTGTTTGTTTTGAGGAAGGCCTTGCTAGGTAGCTATAGCTGGCTTGTTCCTCACTAATCACCACAGACTAGCCTCCAACAACAGCAATATTTTTCACTCAGCCTCCTGAATGCTGGGATTAGCAACAGGAGCCACAAGAGCTAGCTTTGGTATTGATTTGCAAATAAAGAATTTGAATTCTCTGTACAAGCAAATCCCTTCTACTATGTCAGTAAAAAGCATGCATAATTTCCAACTTGAAGAATTTAAATGCTGTCAATACACACAGTGATTCACACTGTTCACGGACAGTATCTTGTCTTAGCCTCTCAGGAGTTCCATGAGGCTGTACCAACATCTTCATTGTAGAAATGATAAAGCCAAAACACAGAGATGTTAAACATCTTGCCTAAGATCCCTTTACAGGGTTCTACTGTCTCCTCTTTCAAACTCACGGAAAAATACAAAGGATTCCACTTACTCCCAGGTTGCTATATAACCCAAGCTTTTCTAAATAATAAAATATAATCGAGACACATAGATATTATCATATATAAATGCTGAATGTCATACTCTCTCCAAGCTCTGTATTAATGGTTTTTAACCTTCACATCCTGATCCTTTGTGAAATATAATGAAAACTGAAGCTTCCCACCCCTGCACAAGGCGTATAAGCAAATGTTCACAGCAGCCTTATTCATCATAACCAAATAGCAGAAAGCTACCCAAATGTCCACTACCCGTTGGATACATAAACAAACTGCAGTATATCTATACAATGTAGTACCATTCAGCCACAAAAAGGAATGAACCCCGAAAACACTACACTAAAAGAATCTAGCCACATAAGCATCATATGACTCCTTTCATTTGACCTATCCAAAATAGCAAGAACCCCACGATCTCACTCATATATAGAGTCTTGAAAACTTGAGCTCAAAGAATTTGACAGTGAAATGGATTTCACCACAGACTGGGGGAGGAAGGGGGAAGAGAAGGAGGTAGAAAGGTTCATCAATGAGTACTGAGTTCGAGATAGTTAGGAAGCTTTGCTGTACTGTTACACAGTAGGTTGACTACCGATAATAAGAATGTACCGCGCATTTCAAAAAGTGAGGATAAAAGATTTAGAAAGCTTTTACCATAAAAGGTTGATAAGTGCCTGGAGAAAGAAACAGATTCAACCTGATTTAATCATTATGTAATAGTCCATTGATTTTGAAATTTTTATGTTTTTATATTAGTTAAATACATGTAAGGGCTAGGGAGATGACTTGGTCAAGTGCATGCACGCAAGCATGAGGGATTGAATTCAGATCCCACAGCATCCATGTAAAAGGATGAGTTAGTGCCCACCTTTAATCCTAACACGGGAAAAACAGAGATGGAAGGATCCTTGGAGTTTGCTGGCCAACTAGTTTTGCTGAATTAGCAAGCTCCAGGGTCAGTAACAGACCCTGTCTCAAAAAATAAGGTATGTCTTGACCCTTTTGCTCATATTCTCACTCCTCCCACTCTTCAGCTGGACTTTGGGAGCTCAGCCTAGTGCTCGCTCCACTGCGGGTCTCTGCCGCTGTTTCCATCAGTTGCTGGATGAAGATTCTATGGTGACATTTATGATATTCATCAATCTGTCTACTCAGCCTAGATATAAATAGGACAAATAAAATTACCCAAAATTTCCTGAGCCCTGAAACTCATCTCAAATACAATAGGATCCAAGAACCAAAATTAGTTAACTCTAAGAATCGTAAAATTGCTGGGCGGTGGTGGTGCACACCTTTAACCCTAGTACTCGGGAGGCAGAGGTAGGTGGATCTCTGTGAGTTTGAGGCCGGCCTGGTCTAAAAGAGCTATTTCCAGGACAGACTCCAAAGTTACAGAAAAAAAAAAGAATCATCAAATTTTCTTTATTTCATAGATGTTTTACTTCAGATTTTCCAACAACTACCAAGCGTATGCCCTATCGTTTTAAAAAACCTCTATGCAATTAGATCACATGATCACAGTTTTCAACACTGATTCCTTATAAACAAATAGTACAGTTTCATAAATAAAATTTTATGAGCTAGGTCCAGGCATAGTAGTACGCTCCCATAACTCAAGCATCCAGGAAGCTAAAGCAGGAGGATCAAATAGCCAGACTGCTATATAGTAAAATTCTATCTCTACAAAAGGTAGAAACACTCTTTAATGATTGAGCATCTCTTACTGGCAAGGAATGGCTGTAATTCAAAAATGTAAAAAGATTTCTGTCATAAAGCATAATAAAGCCTAATAAGCAAGGTAAGAGCCATGCACATATAATAATATTCAAAATAGAAGACAAGTCTTCCTTTTGAAAAGGTCAGGGAAAGGGAGCCAGAAAGAACGAGTGTGGCCTGTTAAAACGGGATCTGACCATTCCTAAATAGGGATATAGGAAATTCCAAACGAAAGGAGAAACAAGGATGTCTCCTAATTGAAAGGGGCCAAACACTCCCACCTTTGGTAGGTTCTGATAAGCCAATGAAGGCTGCTGAGAAGCAGTCAACAAATCTAGGCTGCAATGTTTAAAAGGTGCATGCATGTCAGGAACAGTGCAGTGAGGAAACACAGGAGCCTACTACAAGAGCATGGTAAGACTGGTAAGATCTGATTTAAGTTAGGACATTTTTTTCTTCTTTTTTTTTCTTGGTTTTTTGAGACAGGGTTTCTCTGTAGCTTTGGGGCCTGTTCTGGCTAGCTCTTGTAGACCAGGCTGGCCTTGAACTCACAGAAATCCACCTGCCTCTGCCTCCCAAGTGCTGGAATTGAAGGCGTGCGCCACCACCACCTAGCCATTAGGGCATTTTTTAACTGTCAAGGCACGCTGGAAAAATAGTGGTTTTATATGCTGTAGCTACTCATTTAAAACTGCCAGGTAGAGCCAGGCATGGTCTCATGTCTCATGTCCAGTCGTTCCACCCACTTGGGAGGCTGGTTTGTGTTTGAGTTTAAGGCCAGAGTATGAGCAGCAACTTAGGGAAACGTTGTCTCAAAAAAGGAAAAAGAAAGGAAGGAAAGAAGGAAGGATGGCAGCTGTATTTTATTGTACATATTTATCTGAGAAAACTCATATTCCAAAATATTTTCACATGAAGTTCTTGCTACACTGATTTGTGGGATTAGGAGGGTATAACATATTCTTAGGTGGTCTTTGCTGTTAACTAAGGCCTGTAAGTTTTCAGTAAGCAATCTTGATAAGAATGGAATGATAAACTTTCTGGAGACCAGTAAACCTGCACTCCCAGACAGTAAACAAAATGGCACACTTCTGTGGCACTATCAGTCAGAGGGCCAGAGAAGCACAATATCATTTCCCTTGCAATTGCTTTATTTCTGTGAGCCTGGGCTGTTAGGAGATAATAACCACAAGCGGTAACCATTTCTGGGTTATACATTTACCACGTGGTCAGGAACTGAGCAGATGGCATAGGGGTGTGTACCTGCCAGGCATAGTTGAGGATTGGTTCTGCTTAAGAGAGACAAAGAGGCCGGAAGACGCTGAAAGCTGCCTAAAAGGTTTCATTTCTACACAAAGCAATGTTAGGCACAAGAACTAAGAGAGGGCTGTAGATGTATCTAGCTGATTTCCCTCCTACTCACACTCCATAGAGGCCTGGCTCTAATCCTTAAAGGCCAGTTTGCCAAATCCAAACACAGGCTTTTTACTTTCGCCCTGGAACCCCTCCACTCCCTTTCCCCCTTCCGCTCTGGGCTTACTTGTCCCGGATGATAGTCTGCAGCTCCCGGATCTGATCATTCATAGGCAGCAGTTTAAGCTGTGCCCCAATCTGTCGGGACAGTTCACAGTCCCCTAGGAGGGAGTCACCGACTGGTGCGTCGTAGTTGCCACTGTCACTACTGTCACTGTGGTTCTCAGAGTGAAGATTAATGCCACAGCAGGCCTGAGGGTCCCGCTCCGAGAGCACGCTGGAATGGGCGTGCCCAGGGAGGAGAGTCAGCTTAGCCATAGCAGCATTATTTTCTTCAGCATGATCCAGGATAGGGTCGTCTGCTCGCAGATGCTCGGGACTTGGGGTAGAAGTAGAGTTTACTTGCCGGTTGTGACAGGGCATGGAGTCCGGACGCTGTAACTCCGTGGCCATACACTGGGCCCCGGGCTATCCCCGCAGCTATCAAACCCTAAGGATAAAGGGATAAAGAGCAGGAAGAAAAGGATGCGGACACGTGCTTTCTCCGGCCCCCCGCCTCCTCCAATCTCTAACCCTGGCTGCCCTCTCACCCCTAGGCCTCCGCGGTCCTTTTGCACGCTTTGTCCCACACCCGCCCACACCAGACGTTCTGCCGGCTTAGACACCTTATTGGCCTGTCTCCCTGTCAGTCTGCAGCGCGCTGGTTTGTTAACTCTTTCGAGTCTCTTCTGCTTGATAGATTCTCACACATAGCCTGGCAAACAGGGCTAAGCCAGAAATTCTTGGTTGCTGAGTCCTCGGAAAATCCCTAGGACTTCCTGCAATCAGACCTTTGGTACAGCCAAGAGAAAGTATGGGTGGGTTATACATGTTAGGCCCATGCTTTCAGACTTTCTGACTTGGCAAAGAAACTGTACTTGAGTCAGTTGCGTCTTCAAGCTTATCCGTGTTACAGAAGGAGGAAGAATTCCTAGTAGGCCACTGAAAAGTCTGACCTTTCTAGACAGTTTTACAAGCTGCAGTTTCATAAGTGTGCTTCATCAGCAAAGTTTTTCTTACTAGTATTGGTTGGGCCCTGCACTGCACATGTTGCCATGGAAATTTGTTGTCATTTTCGATACACTGTCACTTTGTTCTTCCCAACAATACTTGGAAAGATGCCTTTCAAAAATGCATAGGTACTCACAAAAGACATGAACACGAATGTCTAGGATAGTAATTTTCAAACATCTGCGTGTATCAGAACAATTGTCGAGCTCGTTAAAATTCTAAGTTTTGACTGGACAGAAAGGCACACGTCTATAATCCCAGCACTGTGGAAGCTGACACAAAAGGACCAAGAGTTCGAAGCCAGCCTAGATTACACAGCAAGCCCTAGTCTCAAAATTTATAATGTAAGCACCTTCTCATAGCTTACCATTGAGATTCTAACCCAGTAAACATGAAATAGGACCGAAAAATCTTTATTTTTAACAAGTAACTCAACGATCTGTTTTGCTTATTTGTTTGTTTGCTTGTTTCAATGCGATAGGTTTCATTATATCGTTTTCATAATGCTTTATTTGGGTTGACCTTTCTCTCCCACACCTCTCCCTCATCACCTATTTCTCTTCTTCCACCCCCAGTAGTTCATTCTCCACTTTCATGTCATGTATTATTCTCTCCCCTACCTTTTATTAAAGCCTCTGTTCCCCAGCTGTGATATGCTTTCTATTTTCATTACCTATACCACAGTATACCCCCCCACACACAAATTTACAGAAATATAAGTAACAGAAAATGGGACCATCCAGGCCTTTGGCAGAAAATGACCCTTGACCTAGTTGTCTGTTTTATATTTTATTCATTCATTTGTTGCCCCAGTGTTGTTATTAGTCGTGTTCTCCTCTTTGTGTGTCTCATCTGTGTCCTACTTCCAAGTCTGTCCATAACTATCTATGAATATAATGTCAACTGCATAAATTTCATTGCATTGTGAAATTAAAATCTCAAATGCAATCCTACACACTTTTGAAAACTTGTACGTCTTTTCACCTAGCACATAATGCAAATGCAAGGGTCTCTAGGTTTAAAACCTGCATCTGCGCACGTGAAGTAGGCAAGAACAAATGGCTGTTTTGTCAGTGAATACTCTAAGGGAATTCAGTGAAGCCCAGTATTGTATCGTGAACAAAGATATTCTGGCTCCAAAACTGCCCTAGAGTTTGTCCATTGTTTCATCAATCCTGTGACCTTATTTTCAAAGCCATAGAATAATGAATTAGAATAGTACAATTGCCAGTCTGTCTTCTGTCCTCACTTTCATGCTAAACGTACACTTCTTTATATTAACCAATAAGCATTGGCAGGTCTATATTTGAGGTTCTGGTCAGATAAAATTTACTAATAATTGCACATTAAGTTTTGTGTTCTATAATTTACAAAGCATTCATATGCATTCTCTTATTTCAAAACTCAAGGGAAAAAAAATCCAGATATGGCGACATATAACTATAATCCCAACACTCAGAGTGTTGAGATAGGAGGATCACCAATTCAAGGCCAGTCTGGGATACACACACACACACACACACACACACACACACACACACAGGGCAGGGAGAAAACACAAACCCTGTCTCACAAAGTCAAATAATTGTCCAAGGTCACTCATTCAAAAGGAATAGAGCTAACACAGGAGCTCTAGTCTTTTACCTCTAAATCCAGCCTTTACCCACACATAAAATCATTCAGTTAATGAAATACTGAGTGCATCTTTCCTATTACAATCCATGCAGCTTACTGGGTGTCAAAGTAGACAAAAGATACAAATAAATAAAGGTCTTGAAATTGTCAAGTGGTGGTAGACAGCCTGCATCTTTGCAGAGCAGGGATGATTTTGCTCAGCACCAAATCCTTTGGACTAGATGGAAACAGCAACATTAAATAATTTCATCCTGGCTTTCTTGCTTACCCCTTTCTGATACAGGTAGAAAACTATATAAATTAAAAGCTGGAAGATTCTCCTACAGTAATTGACATGACTTCATTTTGGGTGGTTTGCTGTTTGTTTATTTTTTTGTTTTTAATTCAGTTTAATACATTTTTCTCTTTGTTGCAAAGATATATTTAAGAGATAACACATTTTGAAAAGCAACGAATAAAGAGTAGGGTTTTTTTTATTATTTGCAAGCCTTTGTTGTGTATTTCTTAGCCTGTGGTGGATTAAAGTCCAGGCACTAAATTGGTGAGACTTTCGAATATAGAGGCTCAAGTTCTGAACCTAAGACGATTCTTAAAGGTTTTGAGAAACTAGATCAATTATACATCCTAACAAGAATCCTTCACAAGGAGCTGTGCAGTCTCTTCAGAACACTTTCGTTTGCTTGTTTGTTTGTTTTGCTTTTTGAGACAGGGTTTCTTTGAAGCTATGGAACCTGTCCTGGAACTAACTCTTGTAGACCAGGCTGGCCTCGAACTCACAGAGATTCGCCTGCCTCTGCCTCCTGAGTGCTGGGATTAAAGATGTGCACCACCACAGCCCTGCTCCAGAACACTTATCTCATTTGACTTGGCAAAACAGATAAGAAAATGCAGACTTAGAAGCTTGATTTAAAGTAACAATCAACTAATTGTAAAGTTGAGAGAAAACAAAAGAGATCTTATAATAAACTCAATTTTCTATTTTTAAATATCTTACTTATACTTTCTAATGACTTTTGGATGTGGTCCATCTTAGTATCTCCATTTTACAAGTAAGAAAATGAAGACTTAGATTAATTTACTTGATAATGTCATGCAGGCCGTAAGTGCAGGAGCAGGCATTTAAAACTAAATTTGAGAAACTCAATATGCTTCTGTAAATCATGTCCTCAGATTAGTCTTGGTTATAATCTACTGTGGACCACATCTTACATTGGACTAGACAATATCTCACCTGTAATACTATATATATGTGCCAAATTTGTGTTAAATAACTGAGTTAAGGAATCTGGGTATAATCTTGTTTAATTCTTATGCTAAGATGTGATGCACATATGTAATCCTAGTAGTTGGTAGGTAGAGAGGAGAGGACCTAGAGCTCCGAGAGTTCAAGGTCAGCCTGAGTTACTTGACTGTTTGTCTCTAAATAAATAAATAGGCCTCTGCTGAACTCTGCATTGGTAATCTCTTTGCATTGATTTTAATGACGTTTAAGCCACTTCACTATACTTTTAAATTCCTTATAAACAAAAATATATTATTTAAAAGAAAAGCCAATGAATAGGTACTGTTGTACACCTTTTCCCCCAAATGTGTCATCATTCAGTATATTTCTCACTGTTCAGGTGGAAGCTTCACTCCAGCCCCTGGCATCCATGTACCCAAAGAGTCTGGAATGTTCGAATGGAGGCTCCATCCCAAGCCCCTTCCCCTGGAGTTGCCACAGTACAGATTCCACCTCTGAGAAATCCCGGAGGCTCCATTCCCCGAGGGCATTAAAACCCCCACCTCATGGGTTCCTCTCGTGGTCTCCTCGACTTCACCTGGGGCCACCCAGGAGTGCTTTGCTCAGAATAAACCTGGATTTATTAATTCTGTTTGATTGGCAGCACCAGAGGCATTAGTTTGGCCATCAACGGCAGGGGCTTCCATCATTAACCAGGATTTAAAACTTAATATTTGGTGACGAGCTCTAGTAGAGTTTTCCCGCTACCAGGTGGCAGTGAAAAACCACTCTCCACTCCCCACCGTAGGACAGACTTGCTCGGTAAATTACCCAGTTTCAAGCCATGGCCCCTAAAGGGGTGCAGGATCTCTTTTGCCTTTCAGCCTGCCTATCATGGCACTGCAGGGCCAGGCAGCTGACCTGTTCTGGGGTAGAGACATTCTCTACCCTTTGGGGCCCTTGTATGGGTGACATCCTGCACTGGGGTACCCCAAACCTCCTGTTTTGACCCTAGGCTATTTCAGAGGACTCTGTTTTAGTCTTCCTGTCTCTCGCTAATGGTTTGTGAATGCATACTTCTGGATACAAGCTTGCTCCCCAAACGCCCTACAAACTTTGTCCAAACCGGAACTGAGCTACCCTGGCCAGGTTCCTGAGCACTGCATCCCTGCCTCCTCTCCTCCCACTGTCCCTAGTCTTTCTCTCTGCTCCCTGGCTTTTGCCTGTCCGTATTTCATGCTTCCACCCAACTGCTCTTTCAGCTTCCCAAATTGTTCCTTTCTTGGACACTCACTCTAACTTTGCCCGTGCTTCCCAGCCACATTGGGATTCATGACCAGCACATAGAGGCTCGCCCCTTTCGCGCCACAGCCTGGGAGACCCACAGCTGAAGATGCAACCAGTGTGTCCTCCACATGGCTCCTGCTTCCCTGCCACTTCTTGCTTGTTTCTGCCTCTCAGTTTCCCTCCATAGAGCCTTCTCCATGCTTTGGTCAGCAGGCAGCTGCTTCAACCTGATAAGAGCTGCCTTAATGCCAAAAAAACACCTTCCATTCGTATGGTTTCTTTCTTACTTTAGGATTTTTAAATTGGTCATCTGACACGGTTTCCCAGGAAGAGTTTTGTTCGATCTTTTCGTTAACATTTTGTTTCTGTTAAAAGTCTTGTTTATTCTTT